TTTACCCACGAGGGGACAGGTAACTTTGGGTGCTTCATTTAGAAACTAGACTCTTTGCCTTACCTGTATTGTTTCCTAGTTTTATTAAAGTTCCTTCCCATTAAAGTCTTATATGTTTTGTGCTGATGCGGCAGATGGCAGAACCCATTTAGAATAGGCAGGTTTGCAGGGTTTGGGCTGACCCTCTCCCTGTCCTATAACACTCCTACCTGGGAGATGATGGACATTTAGTAAATACTTGTGAAACGAAAGATGAATCATCCACTCAGGTACATTCTAATGTTGTGCTTAGTGGGGGAACTGAGGAACAGAATGGCTAAACTGTTACAGGGCAACCCTAATATGAAATGGGTTGTCCTGTGGGACCTCACCCATATGCTTAAAAGGAATTTATTTTTTTTAATTTAATATATTTTCTTTTATGTAATTCTTACATCATTTTTCATTTTTGCACAATGTATGCATTTTCATTTTGGTTATATTCCCCATACAATTCCCACCTCCCTTATTTTGACCCTAATCCCTCCTCTTCTCCCCCCCACCCCAGTGTGTCTCTCTGGTTTATAGTTGCTTGTTGATTTTGATTTTTTTCTTTATTATAATTAGTCTTTTTTCTGGTCCCTTATTTAAGTTTTCTAAATTCCTGCTATGAGTGAAACCATCTGGTATTTTTCTTTTTCTTTCTGGCTTATTTTGCTGAGCATGATCCCTTCCAGCTACATCCATGTTGCTGCAAATTGCATGAGTTTATCTTTTTTGATTGCTGAGTAATATTCCATGGTGTATATGTACTACATCTTCTTGATCCAGTCATCTATTTTTGGGCATTTGGGTTGTTTCCAAAGCTTAGCTATTGTAAATAGTGCTGCTATAAACATAGGGGTGCAGGTGTTCTTTGGAATTGATGTTTCTGTGTCCTTTGGGTAAATACCTAGGAGTGGAATTGCTGATCATATGGAAGCTCCATCTTTAGTAGTTTGAGGAATCTCCACACAGCTCTCCATAGTGGTTGGATCATTTTGCACTCCCACCAGCAGTGCAAGAGAGTTCTTAAAAGGAATTTATGATGAGACCAACTGCAGGCACACACAAAAAGGTTTAAAAGGGTTTATTTACAAAAAGGGGAAATGAAGAAATGAATACTCAGGGAGAAAGAGATAAATTGGTGAATGTGCCCTACTAGTTCCACTGAGCTGGAACCCCAATAGCACGCTGAAAGTCAGTGAAAAACCAAGGACTCCCAAGGCCCACATGTCTGGTTATATACCAAGCCTGGCTGCTTAACTCCACCCTCAGTTCCCAGCAAGCCTCCCTTCAGTGGTGATTACATTGTGGGAGTTGTAGTCCTTGGTGTCTTGGATCTCTTTGGTCTGGGTTGGGGGGTGTTTGCAAGCTCAAAGCTGTTTTATCTGTGCCCTTCCAGTGGGAGGGATGGGGGGTGGGTGGCATCTCCGTGATTCAATTGTCCACAGAGAAGCTCAGCAGGAAATGCTGGAGATTTGCTTAAGACCTTTTAAGGGAAGTTATATGTTAATGTGTTCATGATCTAAAGAACACAACTGAGTATTCTAAAGGTTGTGCTAGGAGGCAGAGGCCTTCTTCCCAGTTTGTATTTGTTTTGGCACCTTCAGGCTGGGGGATACATCTGACTACTGAAGGGGGAGTAACCTGGAGTTAAAGTCACATTCAGTGAGGGTTCATGGAGGGTCTCCTCTGTGCCAGGCCCTCTCCTAGGAGCAGCGCCTGGTTAGATATGGGGCCTGCCAGCTGTGGTCCTGTAAGGGAGACGGACAATAGGATTAAATGGAAGCATGGACTAGGATTACTTGTGATGGGAAGGGCTATGAAAGGAAACAAGTGAAATTGTTCATCGTTATGCAAAATGGTCCTTTCTGTGAAGCTATAATATTCTTGTAACCTGAGATGGAGGGTAAATGGTGATAGTTCCTTCCAATATCTATACTTGGCAAATTAAAAATGATCTATTCTAATTTTCTAATCAAACCTAATTTAATCTAGAATTAAAAAGTCTAGATTTAGGGGAAGAAAACAAGAAACGAAACTATGAAATTGAAGATGTTAGTAGATGCTGGAGTCATTGTTTGTGGGCCGACAAAGCATGTTGGGGATCCCTGCTGGGGATTTTTAGTGAAACCAGATTCTCTTTCTCTTTCTGATATCTGACCTATTTCTACTTCAATCATCATCTCTGCAAAAATTTTTAGAAATGGTGGGTGCAAAAGAGAGCAAATCTGTTTTCTAACCTGAGTTCCTCTGGGCAATTATTGACTGATTCCTTTTGTAGGTTTTGCCAGATGATTTTTCTTTTTTATTTACTTAAGGTATATTTTTTAAAAAGAAAAAAAAAAAGAACTCCTACCCCACAAGGAGTATTTTTTTCTCATGGGAAAGAACCCTCAGTTGTATTTGAGGACCGAATGAAGTTCTGCCAATGACTTCACCCTTGTGAAACATTGAAATTCTCCCAAACATACTAATTAAGATACTTTTGTTTTTTCTGTTAGTTTTAGCTTTGAAGATACCATAAAAATAGTGTGCTGCAGAACCAAGGAGCCTAGTTTGGAGGAAATGACATGGTCTCTCTACTTGGCAATCGGCCTTACTCTTGAACAGCCTGGTCGAGAGAGACCACTCTTTCCATGACCCAGATCATGGGTTGCGCTATAAGGTCATGCAGCTGAAAGGCTTCTACCGGGGTTGTGCAGTGCATAACCTACAGCACTGGCCTGCTGCACCTCTAAGCACTGGCCTGCTGCACCCCAGCAAAAACAGGAGCGAGCAAGCATCGATACTTAGGGACATATACTTGCTTATCAACTCTGTAGGCATCTGTGTATCAGTCCATGGAAATCATTCTTGAGAGAACATGGTTTCTTTTCTTTCTTTCCTATTTAAAAGTTAGCAATTCTTTTTTTTTTTTTAAAGATTTATTCCTGCATACAAGAACTGGGGTGCTGGCCACAGGTGCGGGGGTTGAGCGTGATACCTTTTTTGGAGTCAGTGGGTTTGGTGTGCAGGGTCCTTGGGTTCACCCTGGGAAAGGTTTCACCAGAGCTTCCCTTTCAGCAGCACGTGGTGAGTTTCCCAGGTGGGTTTCTCCATGAGACAGAGACGTAAGTTATATTTAAAGGGCAGGTTTATTAGGGAAAAGGATGGAAGAATAAAGGACACTTGCATAGACACAAGCGGGCAGGAAGAGCTGCCCGAAAAGGGACAGGTTTGCTAAGAGAGGTCTGCATGGTTGCAGGCGGATGGCCTTCAGGAGAGCGGCCTCCTCTGACGGAGATCAGTGAAGAGAAGTCCTGGCATGGTACAGGTCACGGGCAGGCAAGGAGCTGCTGCCCTGCAGAGAAAGAGAGTTGGTGAAAAGAAGCACCTGCATAGTCAAGGTGGGCAGATGGATTGCTGCCCTGAGCCTGTGCAGAGAGCCTGCACTCATAGAGTCTTCTGTTTGGGAGGAGTCACTCCTTGTGAGCCTTTGGGTTAGTCTCCGATTTTGGATAATTATGCAGCATCTGAAAGGGACTGGAGATTCCACAATGGGCTCAATCTCCATATCTTTTCCTTGGGCTTATGCTCTAGACACTCCCTACAGCAGTCTGATACCTGCTTGGGTCTTATGCTTTGTAATCTAGGCATTGGAGCCTAAGGGTCTTGGTTTCCATAGCTGTGTCAATGGCTATGTTAATCCCTTCTACCCACCCCCCACCTCCTTGTGTGAGCCAGGTTTCTGGTCTTATGGCACCTCATTTCAGTTCTTTCTATTTCTGTCCTCCATCAGGAGGATACACCAGAGACTGAGTGGGGAACAGAACAGGCAGTGATTGATGTACACTGCTGAGGGGAGCAGCGGGTGAGACTGGAGAGGTCTGTTGCGCCATGGGTCATCTCGCGCTGCAGAGGCTGCAGAGAGCTTCATAGTGCTACATCTTAACCCCTTGCGCCACCAGGGAGGCTCTAAAAATTAACAATTCTATCAAATTTTATCTGTGCCCCAGTGAATGGTTTGGAATACCCCTTGTGGGAGGCTACCCTGCTTTGGAGACATTGAAAGGAACTGAGACCAGTAGAACTTGGGGAACAGGAAAGGCTGAAACAAGGGACAGTGACTTTAAACAATATAGGAACAGAAGGAACAAAACAGCTCCCAGGAAAACAGAAGTGTTTTACTGACATGTTGCTGAGCCAGCCACCACCTAAAGTAAGATCCGGTTACAGGATAATTAGGGAATAGAAAACAACCACCATGAAACTTCCTGACCACCTAGTGACTAATCAATAGTCTGGCTCATTGGACAGCAGGAAGTCTGACAGTTTATAGTCATAGACAGGACTGGAGTACACGGGCATCCTCCTTGGGACCCTTCCTACTGTCAGCTCTTTGCTCTTGCTGCAATACATCCACACTTGCTTGCTCTCACGTTTGGCATGGCGGCTGTTATTCTTCAACTGGTGTGCACATCCGGACCCACAGCATCCACTCTCCTACCAATGCTGGCCTAGGAGGAATTCACAGGGTCTTCTTTATCAACAGCAGGGCACGTGGAGGTCAAGGTTGCTTCATAGCAGCAGCATACTTCTGGGTCTCCGCACAGAAGGTTAACAAAAAGTTTATTTACAAGGGAAAGGGAAATGAGGAAATGAACAACTCAGGGAGAAAAAGAGGGAGATAAATTCTTAAATGCATCCTACCTGTTCTGCAACCTGGAATCCCAAATGACCCACCGAGACCAAACCTGGCTGGCCAAGAGCATGAGCCAAGAGAGTGTGAGACCCCATTAACATGGCTGGTTATAGTCACAAGCCCCAAAAAAGGGCTGCTTAACTCTACCCTTAGGTCCTCACAACCTCCCCTTGAGGATCATGGGATTGTAGTTCCCAGTGTCCTGTTGGAGTGGGGGTGGCATCCACAAAGCCTGTCTGGAGTTTGCACAGGACATCCTTTCCCCCTGATACTTACCTGCTGGTTTCCATTTCAGAGTACACAGTCATTAATGAAGGCTGCCCTGGAGCTGAGTGGAATATCATGTGTCGGGAGTGCTGTGAATATGACCAGATCGAATGCGTCTGTCCTGGGAGGAAGGAAGTCGTGGGCTACACCATCCCGTGCTGCAGGAATGAAGAGAATGAGTGTGATTCCTGCCTCATCCACCCGGGTGAGTGCAGAATGGGCACCCCTGGGGCGGGTTGGGGGGGGCGTGCAGTGCATTTTCTGAGGTCATGAGTGGGAATGTTATAGGACAGGGAGAGGGGCAGCCCAAACCCCGCAAACCTGCCTATTCTAAATGGGTTCTGCCATCCGCCGCATCAACACAAAACATATGACACTTTAATGTGAAGGAACTTTAATAAAACTAGGAAACAATACAGGTAAGGCAAAGAGTCTAATTTCTAAATGAAGCACCCAAAGTTACCCGTCCCCTCGTGGGTAAAAGTCCATCCATATGGGATTGGCCCAGAACAAGGCCCCAAAGCCTGCCACAAGTCTAAAGCATCTTCCTGTGGGGACCCACAGAAAAGGGTCAGAAACAACCAGACAAGCCCGGAAGGAAAAGAGCAAAATCAACATCAAGATAAAAACTGCCATTGTCACCTCCCCATGGGTCTCACCCACGTCTGTGTCACCCAGTCCACGACCAAAAGACAAGCGCAGTTTCTTCACGTGTCTCTAGGCTCCATGCGCCTCCTCCAGGTCTCCTGGCTCCATCCTGCTTCCTTCCTTCCTCAGTCTCTTCTGCAGCTTCTCCTCTTCCTGCTCAGTTCCACCCTTCCTTGGGTGGGGCAGGGAACCTGGAACCTCCCCCTTTCCTGGGGACCACCCTGTTACAGGAACAGGGTGAACACTTGAATTCTGGCAGGTGGCCAGCAGGTGGCTGTGATACCATGACTCTTATAAGTGATATCATTCAGTCCCTTCTGCTGGTAGGCTAAGGAATTGGAGGAATTGTTAGGGGGAAATGATGTCCTGAGCTAATCCCATACAGGTTTTGTGGACCCCACCTCCACTCCAGACTAAAGCCATCAAGACATTGGGAAAGAAAAATCCCGTCACCACCAAAGGGAGGGTGGCTGGGACCTGAGGGTGGAGTTGGGCAGCCAGGATGGATATAAAAAACCAAACACGTGGGCCTTGGGGGTGCTCGCTGTCACTCGCCTCCTGGCTTCACGGCTCCTGGCTTGCAGCCAGCTCTCAGAGCACCATTTGGGATTCCAGATCAGCAGATCGGGTAGGACTCATTGAAAACTTTGTCTCCCACTTTTCTCCCTGAGCTGTACATTTCCTCATTTCCCCTTCCCTTGTAAATAAACCTTTTATTAACCTTTCGCGTGTGCCTGCAGTAGAGCATTGATAAGTCCTTTTAAGTGCGCAGGTGAGGACCCACAGTCAGGCACCCCGTTTTGTATCGGGGTTGCTCTACAACAGAGTGAGTACCTTTTTTAGTGTTAAGCATGTGAAGCTGTGGATTTATACACTTGTTTTGTCACTTCACAGTCTGGGCAGTTCTATGTACTGGGTCAGGTGCTGGGAATGCAGAGGTTAAATAAAAATCATTGACCACATTCCTGGCATTGTCGGCACTTGCAGCCCAGCCCAGCCGGTAGGGCAGATGGAGGAGTAAACAGTTCACTGCAGAGAGCATGGTGAGAGTTGTCAGAGAGAGAGATGGTAGGGCTATGGACACAGGAGTTGCTGGAGGGAAGGTCAGAGAAGGCAGAGGTGGTGATGTGTGTGCTGAGGATGCAAGCAGCAAACTATGAAAAGGGTAAAGAGGGTCTGGTGGAAAATTCTAGTGATAGCAGCATGTGCTAAGGCCCTGGGGCAAGAGAAAGCACAGAGTTTAGAGTATTGCAAATAGCTTTGTCTGGTAGGAGGTGTGTGGGGGCAGGGGGTATAGGAGAAGGAGGCAGAGAGGGAAAAGGAAAGAGAAGGAAAGAGGAGAGACATGGAGAGAAATAGGCAGATAGACAAAGAGAAAAGATTAAGAGAACAGGGCCTCCCCGGTGGCGCAGCGGTTGAGCGCTGGGTTGCAAAGCTGCCCGCAGCCTCTGCAGCACCGGTTCAATCCCCGGCTGCTCCCCGGCCACCGAGGAGGGTCCCACATGGCGCACAGACCTCTCCTGCCGCCCGCTGCTACCCTCCGCAGTGTACTTCGGTCCTTCTGCCTGCTCTGCTCCCCGCTCTGGCTCTGGTGAATTCTCTCACCCTCCCGCGCTTCTGACTGTACCCCGTGCTTGTATAAATAAATAAATAAATCTTTAAAAAAAAGATTAAGAGAGCAATCTGAGACTCTGAAGGGGGAAAACAGGGCTGGACTTTAAGGGCTTTGAAGCTGTGCTGTGAGGTTAGGCTATGTCCTGAAGATGTTTTAGTATCCTTGGAGATCTTTTAATAAAGAGGTGGAGGCTGATGTCTTCTTTAGATGTGCTGTGGGGAGAAGATTAGAGTAACGGCACAGCTGGAGGCTGAAGAAGTAATGGAGACTTTGTTGAATAAAGTTCTGCAGATGGAGAGGTCAAGGGATTTGAGAGATGCTGGAGATTGGGACTGACAGCAACCTGGGAGTAATTGGATGGGGAAAGTGAGTGGAGGGAAGAGCAGAAGTCAAGGATGATGCTTGGCTTCCATTTGGACACTGAACCTCAGACATAAGAAAATGTTTCCAGTGTAATAAGCAACTCAAAGAATGAGGCATACTGCAACCCAGAGCTTTCTTTGGTTCATGGGAAACTATAAAAATGGAGTAAAGAAAGTGGGACTCAGGTACATATGCAATGCTTCTAAGTCTTCCTGTGTTCTCCTGACATGACCACGCTTGTTTTTGAAAGCTTCCTTGACCTCTCACACATTAACATGCTGCAGGTTCCTTTTGCACATTTTCTGCCCCAGATCTGTGGTCACCTGTGTCTCCAAGGGACTCTGGTCCAAGGCCATGATAGGCATCCAAGCTGTTCTTCGGACTGTCATTGTGACTAGGTTTTTGTTTTTAAAATCTTTCTTTTTAGTGGATGAAACTGTTTTTTTTTAAAAAAAAAAAATGAAAATATGAGCTTATGTTGATATGCAAATTCAAATATAGTATCATCAGGTTGTTTACTGCCTTGATTTTTTTATTTCTATCTTTTTCCCTCTGATGGTGAAAATTCTGTTTCATAGTACTGTTAATGTGCTCAGTTATTTGCTTTATCTTATAAATTAGTTGTGCAGAATAACAATAGTACCATTAGTACTGACAGTAAGACCGGCGGATAAAAGTTACGATTTCTCTGTGGTGAGTGTTGAGCTTAGAATATATTCCTTTAAGTATATGTAGTCAAAAAACTGTTTTAAAGTCAGCTGAGATAGTCCTTTTCTTTGTAGTGTCTGCACCTATTTGATATACAGATAGGCTTATTATTTCCGTCTGTTTTCTATATTTGACATTACAAGCAAATATGTATATGCATTTATATGTCTTTTCCCTTCTTGCACAAAATATAGGCTACCATAAACATTGCTAACTACCTTGCTTTTTCCTCTTAACAACTTATGCTGGAGATCACTCACTGACAGAATAAGGCCATTGTTTTCAATTTTTATAGTTGCACATATCTACATTGTGTGGATTAGCCTAGTTTATGAGTATTTGGGTTGTTTCAGCCTTTTGCTATTACAAATAATGCTATAGTGAATCACCCTAGGCATACATCATTTAGTGCTTTTGTTACAGGGCAGGGAGAGGGCCCCTCCCAAAACCCCCAAACCTGCCCACTCTAAATAGATTCTGCTATCTGCCACGTCAAGACAAAACATACTCTAGTCCATAGGACTTTTAATGGAAAGGAACTTTGATACAATTAGTGTGCAATAAAGAGAAGAGAAGGGAAAGAATAGATAAAATAGTTTGCAAATCAGGCACCCAAAGTTACCCATGTGCTCATGGGTAAATGCCCAGCCAAATAGGGTTGGCCTAAAGAGGGGCCACTGAGGCCCGAAAGCCTGCCACAAGTCTAAAACACCTCCTGGTGGGGACCCATAGAAGCGAGCAAGAATGTGCCCATCATTCCTGGGACAGATGGAGCTATATCAAAATCAAGATGTCGTTCTTGACTTTGGCCTTTTACAACAAAACAGATAACAGGCAGTTAAAATTGAGTGTGATGCATGCAGTGGTAAGGATCAGCTAAATAAGGGTGAGGAAATACAAAATAGCAATAATGGTTCATCTTTTAGGAGTATTTACTTGGTGTCACATCCTATAAATGTGTTAATTTAATTTTTAAAACAACCCTATGGAGTAGATGCAATACCGAACTCCCGTACAGATGAGGGCACTGAGGCAGAGAGTTTCAGCAGTTTGCTCAAGGACACACAGCAGGACACCAGTAGAGCCAGAACATTGCTCTCCATTTTAATAAGTGGGGTTGAATGATGTCCCCCTTCCCTCACTATCCCACTGCCCATCAACAGACCATGTTTTACAAAAAATCCTTTCCTGGGAGCTGCTATCCCTATTTGAAACCATTAGAGTGAGCCCCCTAGAAATCAAGATTGTTGCCAATGGCATACTTTGGTTAAGGAAGTATATGGCATGGAAGAGTAAAGAAATGGGTGGCGATTTAGCACTATTAAATAAAAAAGTAAGTTACAAAAGCAGAATGTACAGTATATGGTGTAAGTCTAATTTTAAAAAAGTGTATATATGTGTATGTATACACGTGCTTGTGTACATATGTATGTGTGTGTATAAAGAGAGAGCAAGAGAGAGAGAGATTTACCAGTAGTTTTCACTGGCTGACGGAATTTTAGATGTTTTTAATTCTTTTTGCTTGTCTGAATTCTCAAAATAGTTCACTATAGGGCCTCCCTGGTGGCGGAGTGGGTTGAGCGCCGCACTGTGAAGCTCTCTGCAGCCTCTGCAGCACAGGTTCGACTCCTGACTGGCCGCGAGAATCCCACATGGCACAGCAGACCTCTCCTGTCTTGCCAACTGCTCCCCTCACCAGCATATTTCAGTCGTCTGCCTGTTCTGTTCCCCACTCTGTCTCTGGTGAATCCTCTTACCCTACCATGCCTCTGGCCTGTACCCCAGCTCTTGTATAAAAATAAATAAAAAAATTTAAAAAAATAGTTCACACTAACTGTGATATGATTATAAAGAGAAAAAAGTATACTATATTGGCAGATTCTCACTTTCACTGCAGGTTATCTCATGTTGCTTTAGATCATCAACCACTAACTAGAAGATGGTTCAAACCACTCTCCAAAACTCCTTAGCCTGAATCCTGGTGACTCTAGCATTTTCCTTGGAACGACTATTTTTTTCCTAAGGACTTCTATACCTTCCTCTGGCCAGGTGCCCTTAGTTGACACAAGATCCTGAGAAGGTGCAAAATGTCTCTCTCTCTCTCTCTCTCTCTCTCTCTCTCTCTCATAGCCGATTAGCACCTGCAAATGCTTACACTAATGCTCTCCTCTTGGAAATGCTGCAGGCTGTACCATCTTTGAAAACTGCAAGACCTGCCGGAATGGCTCCTGGGGAGGAACCCTGGATGACTTCTACGTGAAGGGGATCTACTGTGCAGAGTGCCGGGCGGGCTGGTACGGAGGAGACTGCATGCGTGAGTAGACCCTGAAGTAGCCCCAACGCTTGTGTTGTGCATAGTTTTCATGTCTCAGCTTGCACCTGACTAAGGTTTGCCTTGTAAGAACCTGAGTTCTGGAAATCTGACAGCCAGAGGAGTTTCTAGGTAAGACTATAGAAAACAAAGATGTGTTTCCATGTGCTGGGTGTGGATTATGGACATCTGCTTGGAACTGGCCACAGGAGGTTTATATCTGCTCTTCAATCTTCCCTTTCTCTTAAATGAAGCCAAGGCATTATGCACACAGCACGCCTGAAGTCCATTCCAGAAGTAATTGCACATTAGCATGGGTCAGCAAACAGTGAACAAGGCTTCCAACATGCTAAGTTTGTAGTGTGTTTTAAAAAAAACTGCTTATTGAGGTCACAGTTTACCACACTGTATGTTTCCAGGGTACACAGTCACAACTCTATGATGCTGTCAACCACACTCACCACCAAGCCCCAGCTTTTTAAATGGAAATGGAAATGGAAAAACTTGAATCTGAGTTAAATTCCTAGAACAGAACCCATATCAAGTGTCAGCCTGCTAATTGTCCGGGAAAGGAATTCTTTCTGAATTCCACTTGATCTCCAAGAATTGCTTCATCTTTATTAGGACTCTCTTCTGAGACTCTACATCCTTTGAAAGTGGAGTGGAAATCTAACTTTTTCCCTCAGTTTGAGATTCCCCTCGGCTGTGCCTCGGTGATATCTTCCTGAGAGTCTGGCTCTGCAGCTGTGTATGAATTTGTTAATCCTATTTTACACCCCTCCCTGAATCAGAAGCAATTGGGATGACCTGAGAGGCTGAGCAAGTTTATTGCTTATGGATGATATCCCCAGTTTGCAGGTACGGAGAATGGCCTGCTGTTGTAGCATTCCTTGTCTGTTCCCACCTTACAAAAAGCCATGATAGTCATGAGTCTAGGGCATAGGGCGAGGTGTATGCCGAGGAATTCAGCTGTACTTGGAGGAGGAGGAGCACTTTGTTGCCTAAATATCATCCTCAGAATTAAACTATCCAGAAGACAGAGATTTTAAAAAGTGCTGGGCTTGCCTGCTGATTTAAAACTTTAATGCTGTCTTAGGTGGTTTTGGGGAAATTGAATTTAGTCCTAGGTAGATTACTGTAGGACTTAGCCCTGATCTATCTTGGCAGCTGAAGACAGTAGAGCACCGTGATCAGGACCATGAGTTCTGGAATGACACAAGACCTGGCGTTAGGGGAGGCGCCATGTTCCCACATCCACGTACATGCACCGAACTCCAAATCCCAGTATGCCTGTGGACTTGCTGAGCAGGGGAGCTTCTGGGAATGAGGGGTGGCACTGAGTGGCCAGTTAAAGCTATAGATTGATAACACGAAGGCAGGTGGGCTTGGAAAGCTCTCTTGTTTCTGCTGCCTGACTTGTACCCAGGGACTTAGGTGGACATGAGAAGGAGACTCGTCTGTGAGAGACACAGGGGGCACCTGACAATGGCAGCTGTTATCTTGATGTGGCATCTCCTTCTGTCCCAGCTCTTTGGGCTCTTTGCTTCAGAACCCCTTTCCTACTATTCCCCACCAGGAGGTGCCATAGACTTGTGGCAAACTTTCAGGCCTCAGTCGCCCTGCTTTCGGCCAACCCTGTTTGGCTGGGCATTTGCTCATGAGGGGATGGGTAATTTGGATGTTTTAATGGGAAACTTTTATTAGGAATAGCCTCTCTTGGTTTCCCTCTCTATGTACAGTAATCCTTTTAAAGATCTATCAAGCAATCTGCTCCCTTTGTCTTTATTTGGCAGTTGGCAGGACCACACTTTATTTATTTATTTTTTAAAGATTTATTTTTATTTATTTATTTTATTTATTTATACAAGCACTGGGTACAGTCAGAAGTGCGGGAGGGTGAGAGAATTCACCAGAGCCAGAGCGGGGAGCAGAGCAGGCAGAAGGACTGAAGTACACCGCCGAAGGGAGCAGCGGGAGGCAGGAGAGGTCTGCGCGCCATGTGGGACCCTCCTCTGGTGGCCAGGGAGCAGCGGGGGATCGAACTGGTGCTGCAGAGGCTGCGGGCAGCTTCGCAACCCAGCGCTCAACCGCTGCGCCACCGGGGAGGCCCAGGACCCCACTTTAGAGCATGCACACTGTTTGTTTGGGATCCCTGGGTGCCCCTCAGTCACTTACTAACACTGGGCTTTGCCAGTCACTGGGATTGTGACCATGACCAAGTCATTTCAACTTGCTAATCTCAGCTTCCTCTTTTTTAAAATGGGAGGAATATTCTCTTCTGGTAGAGCTGTTTAGAGAATTAAATGAGATAATACATGAGAAGCACTTCCCACTCTGCTTGGCATTTAGCAAAAACTCAAGTAATACAATAAATAGCATTGGCCCTTGAGCTGTGTGGGCTTGAACCATGTGGGGCCACTTATATGTACATTTTTTCTAATATGCTCAACACATAAATAAATATGAGCTTCTTTTCATATTATCTCTTCATTTTTATGTCTAGTGTTAGTAATATTTGTGGCATTTATAGTGTCTTATATCATATAATATTGATGTAGGTATTTACAGATGATTCATCTTATAAACATATGATATAAACTTACAGTATTGATAAATACAGAACTGTAGATGCATTTCTCTTATCATTTTCTTAACATTTTTTCTTTAGCTTGCTTTATTGTAAGAATATGTTTTATAATACAGCTGCATGCAAAATATGTGTTAGTGATTGTTTATGTTATTATTTAGACCTCCAGTTAATAGCTGTGGGTCTCTTAGACTTAAGTGGGCTGTTTGGCCACCATTTTTTTGTAACCTGCAGTTCTGCAATCCTATACAAGGTCAGAACTTCCCAGTCAATCAGTTATAGGAGCCAAACCTTATAAGGTTCTTTCAAATCAACCAAGATCAGAAAGCTTGATCAGCCCTGGGAAGGGTGTGCATCATGAGGTATGACCTGCACTGTGCAGCCTCCTCCACAACTCCCGTTTATCAGTGTGGTGTTGTCGATGCTACAAACAGCAAAAGTTATCCTTGGATCTTTGATTATGCAAGGGTTTTGGTGCTTCTAATACCTGCATTGTTCAAGGGCCAGCTGTATATTATTATTATTATTATTATTATTATTATTATTATTCAATATATTCCTTAATTGCCATGCTGGTAAGTGGTCCAGAGGAAAAAAACTGCTTTCCATGAAAGTTTAAGAAAGGCATAATTAGAAATATGTTGCTGCAGGAACTTTGTTGTCACTTTGCAGCAGGAACGTGATGAGAGGCACAGCAGTCATGGAGCAGGTTTGCAAGGCAAGACTCTGCTACTTGAGCAGAAGTTCTTGTGCCATTTATTGAAAGCACACAGGCTGGTAAAAGCTGATCATGCAACAGTTGTATGAGGAATAAGGTCTGGAGGGTGGGATAGGAGTGGGAGACAAAGTTTTACGAGGGACAGAGAAGGGGACATCGTGACCATCTGTCAAGAGCCATTTGCGTCAGCAAAGTATGATGTTATCACAGGCAGAGTTATCCCGAGACCCCCACGGAAATAGTTATGTAATCAGGTCCACAGCAGCCTCGGCATTCCCGGGCCTGCCTCATGATACAAGCTATACTCTATAAGGAGTCAAGGAATGCTCTGCTGGGATTTGTAGATAGCAAATAGGTCCCAGTTGCCCACGAGTGGCCAGCTAGTAGCCAGCTCATAGAAACCCACAGAAATACAATGCACAGTTTTAGATTTCTCATTGACCTCTGAGGTAGATAAGTTAACTTTGGAGTTTTCTCCTCTTTGGAGAGAGGTGGCACTTTGTGGCTGAATGGAAAGGGTTTGTGGCAGGATGGAATAATAGGCAAGAGCCAGTACACTAGATTAAGAGTTCTAGATGCAGTGGGAAGTCCAGGGGAGGCTGTGAACTGGGGTGCAGCTAAGTGCCCTGAGAGCAATTAATTACAGGAAGTTGGGGGTAGGAGAGGTTCTAGATGGAGGTGATGGCTGAGCTGTTTTTTTGCTCAGGTGTGAGCAAACAAGAAGATTGCTAATCTGTGATTGCAGACCCCTGTTCTTAACCACAGAACTCTCCTACCTCCACCGGTGCGTTCCCTTTGAACATCTCGATTTTCATTGAAAAGTGAGCGGTGAGATCTCTGCTTAGAACAGAGGAAACAGGAGCCTGGGACTTGAGAGTTCCAGTGGCTTGGGACCATCACCTGAGGAGGAAGGAATGGCTCCCACATGTTCTAGAAGACCAAGGACCCAGTTGAAGCCGCAGCTCCTGTTGGTCCAGATCGACCTGCTCTCCAGCAGTGCTAAATTGGTAACAAAAATGAATTCAACCAATCAGTTGGTTGATCCAGGAGTTGGCAAAGACATGATTGTCCAGGTTGGGTAGGACATGAAACCACATGAGCCTGGTAGAGAAATAAGAGGGACTGGATGTCTCTGTGAGAAGCAGGCTCGGTGGTGACGCAACAGTGGAACAAGTACTGTGGCCACAGAACAGAACAGCAGTGGAACCTTTCAGGGTGCTAATGTGTTCATTTTTGCTACACAGTTTTGCTATGTTACAAACAGTCTCAAAACAGCAGATGTTTATTTTGTGACTTGGCTGGGTTTCATTGGTTCAGCTGAACTGGCCTGAGTTGAACTCCATGCTTCAGGGGTCAGGCTAAAGGGTCAGCCAGTTCTTGGGGTGTGCTCTTGTTGGGGTGCTTGCAGAGGCTTATATAAGAGGTCAAAACAGACACATTTAAGGTCTCTACGCATATCACATACATTCTTATTTCAAAAAAAGTCACATGACTAAGCCCCGAATCCGTTAGCTGGGGAAGTATACTGCATCCAGAGTATACTTGTGGAGGGGCACAATTCCTAAACAATCCTCCTAGCTCTCTGATGTGTAAGTGGGGGACAGGGTAGAAAGGGAGGAAGAATATTTGTGTGCAGGAGTTCAGTAAAGCAAAGAATCACAGACAGGATAGCAGTTGCCCACAGAAATCCCATGTGTA